CTCCCTCTCCTCCCAGCCCCTATCCACCCAGACACCCACCTCCAGGTCTCCACCACCCTGTTGCTGTGTCCATGGGCTGTGCATGTAAGTATATAAGTTCTTTGGTTTATCTCTTCTCATCCCCCAACCCCCACATCCGGGTAGGTCCGTCTGTTCCTTGCCTCCCTGCTTGGAGTCTTGTTGTGTTGGTCAATTCATTTTGTTCATTCGATTCCACAGGTAAGTGAGATCGTGTGATGCTTGTCTTTCTCTGACTGGCTTATTTCACTTAGCATCGTGTTTTCCAGGCCCACCCATGCTGCCCCACAGCATAAGACATCCCTCCTATTTACAGCTGCGTAGTATTCCATGGTGCAAATGACCCACAGCTTTCTATCCGTTCACCTAATGATGGGCACCTGGGTTGTTTCAAATCTTACCTATTGTAAACAAGGCTGCTATGAACGTATGGGGAGCATATATTCTTTCTGATTGGGGTTTGGGGGTCACCTTCCCTAATTCAACCATCAGGACCCATCCCCAGGAGGGGGCGAGGGGGGGCGGGGTCTGCGGCTGCTGTCCGTGGTGCTGACTGATTGCTCTGTGGTTGCTAGTTTCAGCACCATGGTCAGAGTCCATGGCAATTTTGCATTCGCTGAGCTGAGCCCTTGTGTTTGGTCCTCTATATGGCTTCTATGCAGGAGTCAAATCCTATATAATAAAGAGGAGATGTGCAAATTGACCGTCACGACCTCACACAAGATGGCCGCCCCCATGTGGTCACAAGATGGCTGCCTCCATGTGGTCACAAGATGGCCACCACAAGATGAGCAGCAGGAGAGGGCAGTTGGGGGCAACCAGGCTGGCAGGGGAGGGCAGTTGGGGGCAGTTAGACATCAGTCAGGCTGGCAGGGGAGTGGTTAGGAGGTAATCAGGGTGGCAGACAGAAGCGGTTAGGGGCAATCAGGCAGGCAGGCAGGCTGGTGGTTGAGAGCCAGCAGTCCCGGATTGTGAGAGGGATGTCTGAGTGCAGATTTAAGCTGATCCTCGGGCCCAAACCAGCAGTTGAACATCCACTGAGGGGGTCCCAGATTGTAGAGGGTGAAGGCTGGACTGAGGGACACCATACCTCCCTCTGCCCACCCCGCCCCCGTGCATGAATCAAACCAGCCAGTTCACTGGGCCTATAGTTTATATATATTAAAGGCTAATGTGCAAATTGCCTGCTTGGGAGTTCCACTGGGAGAGCGGGAGTTCTATCACTCACTGTGATGTGTGCTGACCACTAGGGGGCAGCACAGAACTTGGTGGGAAGCCAGCAGCTGTGGGGAGTGAGGGAAGGAGGAAATGGGGAGATGGGGAGGCCAGGCCTAGGGACTCTACCCTGCACAAATTCTGTGCATCAAGCCTCTAGTGTAAGATATTTAGTCAGAGCAGGAGGGTATGGGGAAAGTACGAGGCGATGACAGTAGCTGACAATGACCTATACTCCCCTCACAATCCATGGAATCTTGAACAGGGAGAGGATTCGGAAGCTTGCGATGGGGGCCCCACACTCAGCATCACAATCTCTGAAGCAGCCCAGGATGCCCCACAATGTGAGTTCTGCCCTGTTTACACCAGAAGGACTCCTGTTGGGCCCGGTCTGGGATGCTGGCAACTGGGTGAGACTACAAGTTAATACACTGGGCCCTGGACAGAGAGGCTCTGTTGATTGGAGCACCATCCTGTCCACCAAAAGGACACGGGTTCTATCTTCACAAGTTTGATCCCTGGTAGGGGCACTTATGGGAGGCAGCCATCCTTCACATCGACGTTTCTCTTTCTTTCTTCCCCTCCTTTCTCTATAATAATAATACACCAAAACCAGTTTGGCTCAGTGCATCTGCCTGCGGATTGAAAGGTCCCAGGTTTGATTCCGGTCAACAGCATGTACCTTGGTTGCAGACATATCCCCAGCAGGGAGTGTACAGGAGGCAGCTAATGGGTGTTTCTCTCTCATCGATGTTTCTGACTCTCTGTCCCTCTCTCTTTAAAAAAAAATCAATAAAATATATTTTTAAGTAAATAAATAATAATAAGGAAATATGCTAATTGAACCTCACACCATTGCAAATATGGTGGCACCCGCAGCCAATAAGGAGGGAATATGCCAATTGACTGCCACACCATCAAAGATGGAAGTGCCCACAGCCACAAGATGGTGTCGCCCAGTCCCCTCAGCCCTGCCAGGGTGGCAGGCATGCATCTGCCTCCAGAGTCCCCCAGTCCCCTCAACCTCCCAGTTGCCCAGGGCCGCCCGAAGGCTCAGGTACCCAGGGCCGCCTGAGGCTTGTGCTGCCGGCAGTGGCAGCAGCAGAGGTGTGATGGGGGCATCAACTTCCCCTGATCGCCAGGTCACCTCCTACCCGTGAGGGCTCCCAGGCTCCCGGACTGTGAGAAGGGGCAGGCCAGGCTGAGGGACCCCCTTCCAGTGCATGGAAATTCATGTACCGGGCCTCTAGTCTATATATCTAAAAGGCTAAGTGACTGACCATCTGTCTGACCATCCAACTGACAAACCAGCCAGTACATATGATGTGCAGTAACATTTTTTTAAAAATAAACGTTGACTCGTGCATGCACAATACATATAAAGCTCTCACTGGCGCCAATCACACGCGTGTGTTTCAATCTGTCATTGTCCATCGTGAATTCGGTTGTTTTATGTTGAAAGAAAGCAGCGTTGTCAACAGAATATGTCTGAAGGCCAACAACTGTTGGCACAACATATCATTTCCGTGTACATTTTACTAATTTTCTTTCGCCTCTGACACTTCTATTATAGAGGAAGGGCGAGTAGCGATATAAAAATATTTATTCTAATTATTTTCCTTTTGATGTGCACGAATCTATGCACCGGGCCACTGGTAGTAACAATAATACCCATAAAGACATATCCCCACACGGAGCCCGAGCGAACTTCCCACCACCTGGGTCTGGCCGCCCGAACCCCATTCCCGTGGCACCCCCTGCCCTGGCCTGCCCCACCCTCTCCTGGACAGAGTCTCCGTGGCTCTGGAGCCGATCTCTCCAGGCGAACCAGGCACAGGGGACTCCCTCCCAGCCTCCCAGCGGCTCTGAGTACTCTTCCCCATCCCATCTTCACCGGCCTTCCAGATGGACTCAGCTGCACCCCCGTGCTGTCCTTCAACTGACCTGACCTCTCTCTTCCCAAGCCTCCCAGCCCCAGCCTCAGCTTCAGCTCACACGTGGCCCGGTCTCCCTCTGCCCCTGCCTTCCTCTCCCCTTGAGCCGGCCTCCCCCAGCCCCAGCCCCAGCCTCCCTCTCCCCCTGCCCCGGCCTCCCCTAGCCCCGGCCTCCCTCTCTCCCTGAGCCGACCTCCCTCTGCCCTGGCCTCCCTCTCCCCCTGCCCCGGCCTCCCTCTCCCCCTGCCCCTACCTCCCTTTCCACTGAGCTGGCCTCCCCTCAGGGCCCCTGTGGGCCTCCAGGTCAGGACTCATCCTCACGCCCAGCTCTGACCCTCCCTCTGCGGTCAGCTGTCCCCGCAGGCCGCTGGCTGACAGGGGCCCTGTCTATGGTGGCGGGAAAGTCCCCACCACAGGGTCCCAGCTGCCCCTAGAAAACCCCCCACCGCCTCTCTCTCTCTCTCTCTCTCACTCTCTCTCTCTCTCTCTCTCCCTCTCCCTCTCCCTCTCTCTCTCTCTCTCTCTCTCCCTCTCTCCAGCAGCTGCAATCTGGAAGAAATTACTGGCCCCACAGCCAGACTTCCCCAGTTTCAGGAAATTCCAGGAGGCTGCGCAGGGGGAGGGGAGAGGAGGGACCGGGCTGGGGCATCCCCACCTCCCCACCCCCTCGGCCCTCGGCGGGCGGCGTGTCCTCCGCGCACACCCGGCCCGGCCCGGCCCCGGCCGCCCCCACACTCAGCCCCGCGGGGCCCGGGCGTCCCGCCGCGGCTCTCGGGCCTTCAGATCCCGGAGGCAAACTTTTTGGGGGAAAGGGGAGGGAGGGGGCAGGAAGGCGGGGCGGGGCCTGCGCTGCACCCTGTGTGCGCGCCCGGCGGACGCAGCCGGGCTGGGCGGCCGCAGGCTCCGCGGTGAGGGCTCCGTGATGGCCCCCGCGAGGGGCTGAGCCTCCGCCGGGGCAGGTGAGCGGGGCCGGGGGGCCCTGGGGACATGGGGGGCCTGGCACCCCGGACCCCGGGCGGAGGGGGGCGCGCGGGAGCCGGGACCCCTGGACCTGGGGCCCGCGGAGGTGGCCCCGGGGGTGCCCAGGGGGACCAGGACCCGGACCGGACATCCCCCCCCCCCCACGGGTCCCCCTGACACTCCCTCCGGCAGGTGAGGCCCGGCCCGGAGGAGGAGGAAGAGGAGGAGGAGGAGGAGGAGGAGGAGGAGGAGGAGGAGGAGGAGGAGGAGGAAGGCGCGGGCCCGGGACCCAGAGGCCGAGGCGGGCTCCGAACCCCGGGCGGACGGGGCGCCCCAGCCTGAGCGCGCCGGACCCGCCGGGCGGGGACCGCGAGGTAAGCGGGGGGCCGGGGGCCCCGGGTCCCCGGACCAGGACCCGGGAGGGACGGCGGCGGCGGCGGCGCGTCCGGGCCCCGCCACGTGGCCCCGCGCCCCGGTCTGCCCCTCCGGGAACCAGTCGGGCCGGATCCTGATCCGGGGCGGGTGGTGGTTTCCGTCCCGTTGGAGGGGGGCGGGGGGAGGGAGACCCAGGGGAAGGGAGCCAGCTGTGCTCCCCTCCCTCCTGTCCCGTCCTCCTCCCCCTTCCACCCCCCACCCCGCCTCCGCAGCTGGGCGCAGGGCGGGAGGGGAGGGGGCGCGCGGGCGGGTCGCAGCCTGGCTTCCCCCACTCTGGCCGCGCCCCCTTTTGCCCCAAACAAGGGCCCCTCTGTGGGAGCCCTGGCCCAGGAGGGTCAGACTTTTTTTCCATTTTTTTTTAAAATATGTTTTATTGATTTTTTTATTTTATTATTATTACAGAGAGGAAGGGAGAGGGACAGAGAGTGAGAAACTTCGATGAGAGAGAATCATCCACCAGCTGTCTCTTGCATGGCCCCTACTGGGGATGTGCCCGCAACCAAGGTCCATGCCCTTGACGGGAATCAAACCAGGGACCCCTCAGTCCGCAGGCCGATGCTCTACCCACCGAGGCACACCGGTTAGGGCAGGACACATTATATTTGTGTGGATTCTCGCCCACCACAACCTAGGAAATGAGTCCCAGAAACCCCATTTATACATGAGAAAACGGAGGCACACGCTAGTTACTAGCAAGTGATTTATTTTTATTTTTTATTTTCATCTTTTTTATATTTTATTGATTTTTTTTTTTTTTTTACAGAGGAAGGGAGAGGGATAGAGAGTCAGAAACATCGATGAGAGAGAAACATCGATCAGCTGCCTCCTGCACACCCCCCACTGGGGATGTGCCCGCAATCAAGGTACATGCCCCTGACCGGAATCGAACCTGGGACCTTTGAGTCCGCAGGCCGACGCTCCATTCACTGAGCCACACCGGTTTCGGCGGGACAGACTCTTTAGGGTCCTAACCCCATTGCATGGAGCGCAGAACTTGACTGGAGGGCGGATGTGAGGTGGGTGAGACGGTCATTGCAGCTGGATCTCTGGTGAGACCCGTACCAGCATCAACCACACCCCCATGCAACAGCGAATCTCACTCTTCCTCTTCCTCTCTCCAATCAATCCATTAAAAATATTTTAAGGAAAGCGGACAGGAGGCTCGGAGAGGTGGCGGGACTGAACCCGGAGGTTGCAGAGCTGGGAGGAGGAGGAGGAGGAGGAGAAAACCCAGACACAGCCCTGGCCGGTGTGGCTCAGTGGATAGAGCGCCGGCCCTTGGATGGTTGATCGGAAGGGTCCCGGGTTTGATTCTAAATCAAGGGCACGCACCTCCTTGGTGGCAGGCTTGATGCCGGGCCCTGGTCAGGGCGCAGGTGGGAGGCAGCTGATCGATGTGTGTGCCTCTCCTCTCACATCGATGTTTTTCTGTGTCTCTCTCCCCCTTCCCTCCCACTCTCTCTAAAAATTAAAAAGCAATGGAGAAAAAATAGCTTCGGGTGAGGATTAAAAACACACACACACACACACACACACACACACACCCATAAAAGCCATTTCTGGGATGATTCTCACCTGGAATGGAAGAGGAAAAAGGAAAAAGGAGGGAACAAACAGCCATGGTGGAGGGTATAGGAAATCCCTGGCCGTCCTAGCAAACCAAACATCATTTTTTCCACGGGGAAGCCTGCAGCCCGCCCCAGCCTAGGGGGGCAGGGAGGGGGGCTGTCAGCAATCTCTTGTCGCCCTAAGACTCTGCAGTCCGCCTGCTGACACCCAAACCCAGCCCGCCCTCAGCAGGCATCGCTGCTGTGTGACCCGGGGCCATCCATCCCCCCTCTCTGAGCCTCGGCCAGCAGGGCTGTAAAGCAGACAGGATGACAGCGGCCTCCCGCTGGGTGGGATGGTGGAAGGGTTACAGGACTTCCCTCCAGGCCCAGAACAAGGGCTTGGGAAAGAAAGGGTCAGCATCGCGAGAATACCTTGCGACCAACCACCCCTTGCACCTGGGCATTCTGCTCCGTCCTTTAAAAAAAAAATAAATAAATAAAATAAAAAATAAAATAAAATAAAAATATATATATATATATTATATATATATATATATTATTGATTTTTCACAGAGAGGAAGGGAGAGGGATAGAGAGCCAGAAACATCGATGAGAGAGAAACATCGATCAACTGCCTCCTGCACACACCCTCGCCGCTCCTCTCCCCCCCTCCCCCCGTGGATGTGTCCGCAACCAAGGTACATGCCCTTGACCTGAATTGAACCCGGGACCCTTCAGTCCTCAGGCCGATGCTCTATCCACTGAGCCAAACAAACGGTTTCAGCTTGCTTTTTTTTTTTTTTTTTTTTTTTTAATTCTGCTGTCTCAACTGTGTCGATGGAGGTTTGGGGTTGAGGAAGTGGGTTCAGGGTCCCACAGACAGGAAATTGCGGTCAGAAAGGAAGACCTTGGGGGAAATGTGGTGATGGGACCACAGGAGGGTGGGGTGAGGGGCCAGCTAGGGCCAGGCAGGCAGAAGCAGTGGCCGTGAGCTGCCCAGGGAGGCATGGGAGCCAGGGGCTGGGGACAGCCCAGGCGGGAACTCTGGACTCTGGCGTCCCACAGGGCCGGCTGGGCTGTCTCTGTGAGTCACACACCCCCTCCGAGGCCTGTCTGCTTCCTGGTCTGGGGCCGGGCAGGTGGCCCGAGGCGGGGCCCGCCCTGAGCACACGCTGAGCATTCGCCCTGTGCTGGGCACTGGGCTCTAAGTTCATGGCCCACATCCCGCCTGTCCTTGCAGAGACTCTGAGATGGATGATGTGAGTATCACCCCATTTTCAAGGTGAGGAAGTGAAGTCAGAGGGGTTCGGTCGCTGGCCCGAAGCCACACAGCAAAAGGCACAGACGGATCCGAACCAGGGCACTTGGCTTTCTGAGTAATAATGGGCACTGAGAGAGGGGATTTTTAAAAATTGGTTTTAATATATATTGTATTGATTTTTTTTAATTTTTTACAGAGAGGACGGGAGAGGGATAGAGAGTTAAAAACATCGAAGAGCCAAAACCGGTTTGGCTTAGTGGATAAGAGCGTTGGCCTACGGACTGAAGGGTCCCAGGTTAGATTCCGGTCAAGGGCATGTGCCTTGTTTGCGGGCACATCCCCAGTAGGGGGTGTGCAGGATGCAGCTGATCAATGTTTCTATCCCTCTCCCTCTCTGTAAAAATCAATAATATATATTTTTAAAAAAACACATCAAAACATCAAACAGAGAAACATCTATCAGCTGCCTCCTGCTCTCCCTCCCCTCCCGCCCCCCCGGGGATGTGCCAGCAACCAAGGTACATGCCCTTAACCGGAATCAAAGCTGGAACCCTTGAATCCACTGGTCGACACTCTATCTATTGGGCCAAATCGGTTAGGGCTAAACATTGATTTTAGAGAGAGAGAGACAGACCAAGAGGGAGAAATACCTGTTGCTTCGAATGCACCCCGACTGGGGATGGAACCCACAACCTAGGTATGCTGTGCCTGGGAATCGAACCCGCCACCTTTTGGTGTAAAGGATGATGCTCCAAACAACTGAGCCACCTGGCCAGGGCAGGAATTTTGTCTCTTAAACGGTGGATTGAGATTCCTTCAAGAGCAGAGGTCAGCATTTTTTTTTTTAAAGGTTAGAATTGAAAACATCCAAGTGCTTAGCGTGTTTTAACAGTAAGTCTTGTTTTGTACTTTTTTCCACTTACGCAGGCGACAGAGGGACAGGCGGGGGTGAATGTTTGCACAGGTTGCAATAAAAATGTTTATTCATCTCGATTGAGGTCAGGGAAGTCGGAGAAACACAGCTGAGGTGGCGAATCCAGACTGGTTCTCCCGGAAAAATGAATGTAGAATGTGCGTGCGTGTGTGTGTGTGTGTGTGTGTGTGTGTGTGTGTGTGTGTGTGTAGTGTGTGGCAGTTCTCATGCATGTCCATCTACCACAATTTTAGGCTCTTCCGGCCTTACTGTTCCTCCAGCTGACCGCTGGTCTTTCCCAGGATGCTCACTGCTGAAAGAACAATGCTGGCTTCTTTTGCCTTCCTCAGAGGGTTTGATCTTTATTTTTTTATATATATATTTTATTGATTTTTTACAGAGAGGAAGAGAGAGGGATAGAGAGTTAGAAACATCGATGAGAGAGAATCATCGATCAGCTGCCTCTTGCACACCCCCACAGGGGACGTGCCCGCAACCAAGGTGCATGCCCCTGACGGGAATCGAACCTGGGACCCTTCAGTCCACAGGCCGACGCTCTATCCACTGAGCCACACCGGTTTCGGCAAACCTTTACGTCTTGTCCCTCCGTGGTTGCTGGGGACACGTACCTTACCCCCCACCCCACCCCACCTCTCCCAACACGAGCTCGCTTACCAATACAGTTTTCCATGTCATATTCTTGGAGGCTTTTCCTTGTGCCCTGGGAGCGAGCTGGTGAGGTTGTATCCCTTTTACAGAGAGGAAGCAGAGAGAGTCCCAGACCTGCAGCTGGCAGAGGGTGGGGCCTCATTCAAACAGGGCCTCCGTCATACCCTCACAACCGACGGTTAGCACGAAGGCCAAGGTCACCAGAGGCCCTCCAGAGGATTCCGAAAAGCAGCCGGCTGCTGCAGGATGTGGGCAAAGGTTGGCAGGCATTTCCCTGTAACATGAGCCCCGAGATAGTCTACGTGGCCAGCGGACACCTCGCTTCCGGCGTGTGCACTGCCTGCCTCCCATGCATGCCCTCTGGCCAGTATAACGCCGAGAAAAGTGTTTATCGCCCTCCTGTTACAGAAACCGAGACATCATATGGTCTCTTTCAAAATCTAATGCAGATCCCCAGGCCCGCCTTAAAAAGCTTAGAATTCACCCTCACTGGTTTGGTTCAATGGATAGAGCTTCGGCCTGTGGACTGAAGGGTCCCAGGTTCGATTCCTGGTCAAGGGCATGTATCTTAGCTGTGGGCACATCTCCCATGGGGATTGTGCAGGAGGTAGCTGATCTATGTTTCTCTCTCATCGATGTTTTTCATTCTCCCTCCCTCTCCCTCTCTTTAAAAAATCAACAAAATAGCTGAAACCGGTTTGGCTCAATGGATAGAGCGTCGGCTTGGGGACTGAAGGGTCCCGAGTTCGATTCCGGTCAAGGGCATGTCCCTTGGTTGTGGGCTTATCCCCAGTAGGGGGTGTGCAAGAGGCAGCTGATCAATGACTCTCTCATCAATGTTTCTAGCTCTCTAGCTCTCTCCCTTTCTCTCTGTACAAAAATCAATAAAATATATATTTTTAAAAAATCAACAAAATATATATTAAAAGAAAAAAAATATTAGAATTCCTGGTTAACATCTTCAGGCCAGGCCCTTTCCTTAGAGAGGAACTTGTATTTTGCAACTGGGTGGGTATAAACACAAATATAATCCAGACATTTTAAAAATAAATAAAACAGGTCAGCATCCCGCCCTCCCCCCAACTGCCTCCCTCTGAAAGTGTGTGGGCCCCAGGCTCTGTGCCTGAGGCAGCCCTGGGTTCACGGACCCACCTGTGTGAGGAGCTGAGAGCTGGGGTTTTTGCCAAGTTTGGGGAGCACTTCCCCTCCTCCCGAGGGTGGCTCATTGCCTGGCCTCCGGCAGCGAGTGGTTAGCTGCCTGGCCCCTCCTCTGGAGAGCCCCACGTTTGTTCTTTTAAAAAAAAAAAAAATATATATATATAGCCGAAACCGGTTTGGCCCAATGGTAGAGGGTCGGTCTACGGACTGAGAGGTCCTGGGTTCAATTCCAGTCAAGGCCATGTACATTCGTTGCGGGCACATCGCCAGTAGCGATGTGCAAGAGGCAGCTGATCAATGACTCTCATCGATGTTTCTAACTCTCTCTATCCCTCTCTCTTCCTCTCTGTAAAAAAATCAATAAAAATACACTATATATATATATATATATATATATATATATATTAGCCGAAACCGGTTTGGTTCAGTGGATAGACCATTGGCCTGCAGACTGAAGGGTCCCAGGTTCGATTCCAGTCAAGGGCACATACCTTGGTGGCCGGGGCACATGCCCAGTGGGGGGCGTGCAGGAGGCAGCTGGTGGATGTTTTTCATCATCGATGTTTCTAGCTCTCTATCCCTCTCCCTTCCTCTCTGTAAGAAATCAATAAAATACATTAAATATATATAATTGATTTTTTTACAGGGAGGAAGGGAGAGGGACAAAGTTAGAAACATTGAGAGAGAATCATCAATCAGCTGCCTCCTGCACACTTCCCACTGGGGAATGGAACCTGGGACCCTTCAGTCCGCGAGCTGACACTCTATCCACTGAGCCAAGTCGGTTTTGGCACTTCATAGTGGTCACAGGCAGACCCAGAGCTCAGTGAGATGGGACTCAGGCAGCTGAGACCTTGGACCTCGTGGGGCTTCAGTTTTCCCAACTGTAAATGGGTGCAATCCCTGCACCATCACCCAGTCTCTGCGGAAGGCGTCCTGGGGCGGCTGGCTATAGACCCGGGGCTGGGGGTGCAGCTCCTATGGGGCGGCCCCGATGACCCCCTTTTCCCCTCCTCCCTCCCCCGCAGATGCCGGTGCTGAAGCAGCTGGGCCCCGCGCAGCCCAGGAAGCGGCCAGAGCGCGGCGCCCTGTCCATCTCCGCGCCACTCGGCGACTTCCGGCACACGCTGCACGTGGGGCGCGGCGGCGACGCCTTCGGGGACACCTCGTTCCTGAGCCGCCACGGCGGGGGGCCGCCCCCCGAGCCCCGCGCGCCGCCCGCGGGGGTCCCGCGCCCCGCGCCGCCGCCCGCCGCGCCCCAGCCGCCGCCGCCCGCCCTGCGCGCGCCCGCGCCCGCCGACCCGCTGCTGTCCTTCCACCTGGACCTCGGGCCCTCCATGCTGGACGCCGTGCTGGGCGTCATGGACGCGGGGCGCCCCAGGGCCGCCGCCAAGCCCGGCGCCGACGCGGACCCCGGCTCCGGGGCGCAGCAGCAGCAGCAGCAGCAGCTCCCCGGGGCCCGCGGCCGCCCCAGCGCGGACCTGGAGCTGGACGACGTCATTGGCCTGTAGGCTCCCCGCCCCCCCTCTCCAGCCCCCCATTTCTTTATACATAAACCGCTAAGGCCAGCGCCCGCTTCCGTCTCTTCTCTGCAGGGAGAAGAGGGGAGGATGGGGTCCCGGTGAGAATCGGGTGTCCCCTGCGGCTCTGGACCCAGGGAGGGGACGGGTCACATTGGGGTGGCCCCTGTAGGACAGTCGGGGGGCGGGGTCCCCACGTGGCCGCGCCCCCAGGCCCATTCATTCGTCCGGTGGACAGCGCCGCCGCGGGATCAGGGCGGCCTGACCCGCTCCAGCTGCGGGGGCCCTGCCCGGGAGCCCCCGGGGGAAAAGGGCGGGAAAACGGCGCGGTCCCTGGAGGAGGGCCCTGTCCTCCCAGGGTGGGTGGGCTCGTCAAACCCGAGCTACGGAGCTGGGTTTGGTCTTGCAGGCACCGGAGGTGCCTCGCCCGCGGAGGCGGGACCGAAAGGCTAGCGGAACCGGTCGGTCCCGGGGCGGGGCGGGCGGCACGTGCCCCGTTAGACGGGGCGGATCGAGGTCTCTAAGGACTTGGAGGCGGGGCCGGGCGGGAGGTGCTGCGCCGGTGACGGGCGGGGCGGGGCGGGGCGGGGCCACCCTCGCAAGCCGCGGAGGGGGCGGGACAGACTCCCGGGGACCCGGCGGGGCGGCCCCACGTGGGCCTGAGTCAGAGTCCCTGCGAGCTTCCCGGGTCGGGGCGCGGCCCGGAGTCACCGCCGCTGACGACACAGTCGGGCCACCGCCCGGGTTCCGATGGCGGCGGCCGGAGAGCCCGCACCGACCCCGGAGCCTCCGGCCGCGGGGACCCCGCCGCCGCCGCCGCCGGCCTGCCGCTTCTTCCTGGAGGGCCGCTGCCGCTTCGGCGCCCGCTGCCGCCAGCCCCACCCCGGGGCTCCGACGCCGGCGCAGCCGAGAGGCGGGGCCGAGGCCGAGGCCGGGGCCCGGACCAAAAAGCCGCCCCTGCGCACCGCCGCGGCCGTCATCCAGCGCATCCGCTGGGACCCGCGCCTGGACCCCGCCGACTTCGCGGTGGGCTACGCCGACCGCTTCCGGGGCGTCCTGGAGGAGCCCTTCGGCGCCTTCTGCTGGGACGAGCCGCTGGCGGCGCTCGGGCCCGGCGCGCTGGCCGTCCCGCAGCACCGCGTCCGCTACTTCCGCTTCCGCGGCCGCGTCGTGTGGGACCGCGACTCGCGCACCGACCACGTCTTCGGCTCCGGCTGCGCCGCGGGCCGCGGGCCCACCATCCTGGACGCGCTGGGCGCTCCCGGGCACGGAGAAGGGCAGGATGGCGCGGACGCGCACGGGGACGAGCACGCGCCCGGAGCCGGAGAGGCGCCGGACAGCGGGGACGAGCAGGGGGTGGACACACCTGGGACCCGGGAAGCACAGGACTGCGCAGCTGCGCCCCCTTCTGGCGCCCCAGCAGGAGAGCTCGGACCGCCGCCTGGGACCGGCCCCCAAGCCGAAGCCGGGAGCCTGGTGCCCGCGGGGACTTCGGTGAAGGCCCAGGCGCTGGGCGGGGCCGGCAGCCCGGCTTCCCCACCGAAGGAGCCAGAGAGGGCGCGGAAGCTGGCCGCCAAAGCCAGGACCAGAGAGGCACGGACCATGGCGGCCGCTGGGCAGCCCCTGGGTGACTCCTCCGAGACAAAAGAGGGGTGTCAAGAGGAGTGGGGTACTGAGGCCTGGCCCGAAGCTGGCGGAGAGGCCACCGCGGCCAGGGACACAGCCCCTCGCCAGCCTCGCCCCACGCACTTTGTGGCCCTCATGGTGACAGAGCCCGGGCTGCAGGCGGGGGTGGCCAAGGCCCAGTTAGAGCTGGTCCGAGCTGCGCCTTCGTGTGCCCCTTTCCTGGTGCCCGCCCAGGCCCTGCACCTGACGCTGGCCCTGCTGAGGCTGGGGGGCCCCGGGGAGACAGCGGCTGCCATCAGTGCGCTCAAACACGCCCTCTCCGATCCGGGACTTCCGGTACCTCCGCAGGTGACCTTTAGGCAGCTGGTGCTCCTGGGCCCCCATGTGCTGTGTGCGCCCCCCTCCCCGTCCCTGGAAAACATGGCCCAAGTGCTGGGCCAGAGGCTGGAGGCTGAAGGGCTCAGAGTGCTCCAGCCCCCAGGGGGGCTGCACCCGCACCTCACGCTGGCCAAGGTCCCCCGCGGCTCTCAGGGCCACCTCCCCATGCCCGGGCCCAGCCCAGGGCAGGAGCTGGGCAGCCAGCTCCTGAGACAACTCTGGCTGTGCCGCATGGGGAGGGCAGGGGATGCCTACCAGCCCCTGGCGGAGATCCCCCTGGGGTGACAGCCCCGGCCTCTCACACAGAGGAGATCCAGTCCAAGCAGGAAGGACAAAGCACACGCTCGCTCTCTCTCTTTAATTGTGGTTTCTCTCAGGGTTCCAAACGTGCTCAGTGATCCAAAGGAAGAATGAAGGAAAGAAAGGGGGAAAGGAGGGGGGGAGGCAGAGAAGGAACATCTGGAAAAAAAGCAGCCTGACAGTCCAGCTGTTTGCAAACTCATTGCACAACCTCCAATTACATGGCAGAAGAGGGAGGGAGGGGAAAAGAAAAGGGAGGAAGGAGGGGAAATAACTTAAATAAACACACAAAAAGAAACGAGAAGGAAATGTGACGTGAGCTGGTGATCCATGAAGGCGGGGAGGGGAACCGTTTACCTGTGCTGAACCGAGGGAGGAGGGGGCAGGAGGGGGAGGGAGGGAGGGGGGAACTAGAAACACTGGGGGGGCGGGAGGAGGGGACACGAGACAACTCAATACAACTGCAGACGAGGCGGCCGGCCGGGGCCCGATGGCCTCCGGAGTCTTCGGTTCGGGGGCAGCGTGGATCTGCTGGTGGCCTGGTGCGGCGGCGGCGTTTCTGGGGCGGGAGCGAGGGCATGACACAGTCTCTGCGGCTCCCGCGCCCCGAGCACGGAGGCCCCGGAGGGCTGGCAAAAGAGTCTCTGGTGAGGTAGGAGATGGCGGCGGGCGGCGGGCGGTGCCCCCGCCGCGGGCACGGGCGGGGCGGCCGGTCGTCCTCTGCTGGCCCCTGGCGTGAGACGGGCCAGGGTGCCCAGTTGGTACCGGAGTACGAGCTCGAGAGAGAGAGAGAAAACACTGAGACAGCATTAGTAGTGCAAGGTGGACAGACCACGCCCCCACCCTTGGCTGCCCGCCCTCCTCCCCGTCCCATCCCTCTGAGGCAAAAATAAAAACGTAGAAAAATTCTCTGTACAGACTCCCCGGTAGGAAAGCGGGGCAGGGAGGGCGGCTCTTCCTGGAGCTCCCTCCCCACGATTAATTTACAACCCAAGTCCATGGCTCAAAAACAAGATCCGCAGAGGTGGCGCCGCGGCCCCGCCCCCACCCCGGCGCGGGCTCAGAAGGCGGACAGCTGCGCCAGGCTGAGGCGGCAGTCGATGCTGGCGTTGTCGGGGCCCATGGAGGCCAGGCCCAGGGGCTCTAGGAAGGCCCGGCAGGCGGCCTCGCCCTCGAAGGCCAGCTCGGCCTGCAGGTAGGAGACGGGCAGCGCAGGGCGGAAGCTACGGAAACAAGAGGAGAAGGTGATGAGGCGGGCAGCAGGCAGGGGCCCCACGGACAGGGAGTGGGTGCCCCCCTTCCGACACCCTAAGCGTTCCCTCCGCACATTAGGAAATGTAACCTCTGGTTCCCGGCCCTCACCCCCACCGCCCACCTCTGGAGCTTGGAGGCCCTCAGACTGGGCTGACAGCCCAACCCCAGTTATGCCCCTTTGCCCTCACTTACCTGTCGGGAGGCCCGGAAGGAGGGGGGGAAGGGCCGCCCGGCTCTTCCACTGCTCCCTGGCCTGAGCAGTCCCTCAGGAGAGGGCCACCGTGGCCGAGGGCAGGGGCCAGGCAGATGGCCCATGGGGACAGGCACAGGACGGGAGGGCTGACCGCTACTCTGGGGGCCTGGCACTCACAGGGCCCCAACCCTGGTCTGAGCGCCTCAGGGATGCCCTGGGCACAGGAGTCAGCCAGCACTTCCTACGCTTCCCACACAGGAAATTCTGGTTGGCAACGAGAGCGCTGGGCCCGTGCCAGAAGCAGCTGCCCTCAGTGCTCAGTGCCCGAGCGAACCCTCGCCTGCAGGCTGAGTCATCTACCTCACAAACAACCCCGGGCGGGCACTGCAGGGCCAGGGCACAGCCACTGCGCGTCACCCAGGAAAGGAAGCCGCTGGCTGAATGTACTCAGAGCCGGCCCTGCCCCAAGCCCACTGCCCCCCACAAGCCTGGCCACCTGCAGGGACGTGTCTGCCAAGGAAAGGCGGTGCAGTGTCAGGCCGGGCCCCTCCCACAGGCACCAGCCATCTGTCCTTCCGAGGCCGAGCACACACTAACGGGGAAGAGTCGCTGGCCCAGCTACCGGAGCTGGAGGAAGCTCGGGAGCTCCCCCAGGGGCCTGGTGGGCTGCAGAGGGAGCTGGTCTGTTGGCCGCTTCTGTGCATCCTCACCCCACATTTCTGCCCACGTCCCCTCTGTTTCTGTGGCCCTCGAGTGTCCCTATCCTTCAGTTCGACCATCTTTTCCCAGGCTCCAAACCATCCACATGGGAAAGCTAACAGACATGGTTGGTGTTCAAGGCCTCATACCCCTGACCCGAGCAGGGGCTCTCACCCTCAGAGGCTGGCAGCGGGCCCCCTTAGTGCTGTGGGGCGCCATGCACACTGTGGGGCGCTGTGGGCTGGTCAGCAGCAGCCCCGGTCTCTACCCACCACAGGCCAGGAGCTGCCCCGGCTGTGACAATTGTGACAACAAAAGGAACCTCCCTGTCCTAAGCACACATGCCCGCACTCTGGATGGAGCACACGGCGGGCACACTCAGTGTGGGGCACAGGCCCAGCCCGCCTGGCATCTCGCCCGCTTCCCTAACATGTGGCCCCTCAGAAGGCTCAAGTAGGAATGGGGCCCTGGCCCGTCAGACCAGAAGCTGCCAGAGCAGTGCTGTTTTCTCGTTTGTCTCTAGAGCAAGGGCTGCGCTGGAGAGCCAGAGAGGCAGGCCGAGGCCTCGAAGGCAGGGAGCCCCGAGCAGAGCAGCCAGGGTCCCAGGTGATGTGAGTGGGAGGACGATTGGCAGGGGGTGGAGGGACCCCGGAACCAAAGGAAGAACGAAAGAAAGAATGGCGGAAGAGGCCAGAGGGAGGGCTGAGCAAAGGGGAGGAGGGACAGCAGGACAGGACGAGAAAGGGGGAGGGGCCAGGACAGACGGGACTGGAGCTAGAGGCTCCTCGCCAGGGGTGGAGGGGAAGAGAGGGGGCACGGGGGACCTCAGCTGAACATACGTTTTGATCATGGCCTTGAGGGCGGCTTTGCGCTCCCGGTCCACAAACTTGTCTATGAGGTAGCCAGACATACAGGGCGCGCAGCCGTAGAGCCGGAAGAAGCGGTGGTAGTTGCCCAGAGCCCAGGCTGCCCTCAGGGCCAAGGCATGGGCCACGCAGGGGTCCGTCTTCAGCTCCCGCGTCAGGTAGGCCAGCTCCGTGGTGATGTCGCCCGAGTTGTTGGTGAAGATGTAGTAGAGGATGCGGTAGGCGGTGAACTCACCCACGTTGCCGGGCAGGCTCTCCGCGTACAGCGACTTGAGCTGCGTCTGGCACTGGTTGAACTCCTCGTGGTCACCCTGGCGGGGAGGAGGGGCAGAGTGAGGCTGGGGAGCCAGCCTGGGAGGAGCCCAGGAGCCCGGGAGGAGCCCAGCAGCCGGGGAGGAGCCCAGCAGCCCGGGAAGAGCCCGGAGCCCACTCACCTTCTCCAAGGCGATGCGGGCGTGCGTCTCGTACACCTCCACCGTGAACTCAGTGCGCACGCCTTGCACCTGGGGCAGCAAGGAGAAGAGTCAGGCCAGAGCAGGGCGGGACACACACCCCCCCTCCCCAAACTCCAATCCCACCCCCACCCCCACCCCCACCGCCAGCCCCGGTCACCCAGCCCAGCCCTCACCGTCAGGTCCTGCCGGATGGACTTCATCTGCTCACAGGCGAAGGCGTAGTCCTGCTTCTCTTTCCACTGGGACTTGACCATGCACAGCGACTTCTTCAGAACCTGGACGGCCGTCACACGGAGTCAGAGACAGCCGGCAGAGCAGGGACACCCAAACCCCGCTAAGCCCCGCTAACGCGGAGTCTGAAGTGAAGGCTGCAGCATCAGCCCCAGCAGCCCCCCAGCAGGAAGAGCCCAGCCGGCGGAGAGCTGAGCCCAGTCTCAGTCAGCGCCCGGCCCGCGTGCACCCGGGACAGGACACTCACGGCCTCGTCCCATCAGGACGCTGGGGCCTTTGTCCCATTTCAAGTGGGACCCAGAGGCCCCGAGGGCTAGAAAGCCCCCCAACAAGGCCGTGTGCTTGGGACTCAGGGCTCAGCTGCTCTCCAGTGCCCACCCAGCCAGCCGGGCCCTGCCCTTCCCAGCACTTACCGCCACAGGGCGCACCGTGGACGGGTCGGGGGCACAGGTGAGCCGCAGGTAGTGCTTGGTGATGTCGGGGCAGGTGCCCACGATCTGCAGCTCCTGCCAGTCGGGGTCGCCCCCGCTGCTCTCCAGGCCGCCCACCTGCAGCACTAGGGGCTCCAGGCGCAGGCGGCGGGAATGTCCGTGCTGGAAGCGGGCCGCCCGCTTCTGCTTCTTCAGCTCGCGCTCGGGGTCCTCACACTCTAGCACCGCCATCCTCTTGCGGTTGCGCTTGGTGGGCGCTAGATCGTGCCTTGGGGGGAGGGGAGGAAGGAGAGAGGGGAGGGTCGGTAAAGGAGACCGGCATGGAGCACCCCAGGCCTCTGCTACGCTGCTCAAGGGCACAGCACCCTCCCTGGCCACCCAAAGGCTCACTCACCTCTTCCCTCGCTGCGCCCTGCCTCGGCCCCGATCCATGTGGGCCCCCCGGCCTCCCCGGCCCTTGGGGGGCGGGTTCCTGCGACCCACAGGCTGACACTCATTCCCTGAGAAGGAACTGTCCGAGTCCGAGTGGGAGTCACTGTGCGGAAGAGGCAGGACGGTGAGGCCCGGGCCGGCTCCCCGAGGCCCGCCCCCGCCCCCGCCCGGAGCCTGCACCCACCTGCGGCGGAAGTGGCGGTTCGGGGACCGGGAGGAGGAGCGGGAACGGGACTCTGTGCTGGAGGAGGAGCTGTGGTCCTTCATGAAGACATTGCGGTTGCCGAACTTGGCAAAGCTGCCGCCCCGCGCTCGGCCAGCACCCCCAGCCCCTGGCGTCCCTCGCTGTGACTGGGCACCCCCGCCCCTGGTCGTGGCGCCTGCCCCCCTGGGAGGGTGAAGGCTGCTGGGGGCCTCCCACCGC